AGCTGGGAGCCAGGAGAAGGGAAAAACCAGGAGAAGGGAAGAATGGAGGTTCTTAAATCCCTCTGGCTGCAGTTTGAAACCCCAGGGCAAGGAGGGAGAGCTGGGAGGTAGGAAAGGGAAAAAATAGGAGAAGGGAAGAATGGAGCTTCTTAAATTCCTTTGGCTGCAGTTTAAATCGCAGGGCAAGGAAGGAGAACTGGGAGCCAGGAAAGGGAAAAACCAGGAGAAGGGAAGAGTGGAGCTTCTTAAGTCTCTTTGGCTGCAGTTTGAAACCCCAGGGCAAGGAAGTAGATCTGGGAGCCAGGAAAGAGAAAAAACAGGAGAAGGGAAAACCCAGGAGCTTCTTAAATCCCTCTGGCTGCAGTTTGAAAACCAAGGGCAGAGAAGGAAAGGGAAAAACCAGGAGAAGGGAAGAATGGAGCTTCTTAAATCCCTTTGGCTGCAGTTTAAATCCCGGTGAAATATTTTCCCCTTCATCTTTTGCAGCTTCCCTTTAGACATTTGGACCTTTCCCTTTGTCCCCGTGGTCCGTGGCTGGGAATTCTCCTTTTTGGAGAAGCGTGGAAGCCGAATTTGTTTCCATCACAACTTTCCCTCGGAGCCGAAGGCAAATTCGGGAGCATCCCTAATTTTTTTGCCGACAGGGAGCAGCAGCCTCGTCCCCCCGCTGCCCTTTCCCTTTAAATCCCTCTCAAAAGCCTTTCGAGGGTTGAGTCGCTTCCCGAAATTTGGAGAGCGGCCAAGCCGTGGCATCCCGCCAGGGGGTTTCCATGCCTACCAGGAATGTTGTGCGGTGCACCTTGGGAGGGGAACGGCACTTCCTCGAGTTTTATTTCCCCTCCCTTCCAAGGAGGGAGTAAATAAAGCAGCCGAGGAGCTGGAGCTCTCCCCGCCGGCTCCTCTCCCCATTCCCATGGATGCGTGTCCCGGCTGACGGCTCATCCCGCGGTAAGAGGGAATTTTGTCGCTCAGGTGACGTTTTGGCTGCTCGGGAGATGCTGTTCCAGCGGGGATTCGTGGCGCTGTTCCCGAAGATTTGGCTCCGTGCCACGGGGAGGATCAGGGGGTAACTTTGGGATTGGGATAGCGCTCTGTGTGCCGCCGTTTCTCTCCCCAAATTTTATTGCTCTGGTGTTCTGCTGAATTAGGAAAAGATCCATCCACGTTTCAGCCACGAGATAGTTTGGGAAGCTGCGAATTCAGCAGAATCCTGACGGTTCTGCCCCTAAAACAGGAACGTGGCTCATTTCCTACTCACGGGGAGGCAAAGACTCCCAAAATCCCTGCCGGTGCTGGCGGGAGCGGGATATAATGGAATGATTCAGCGCTGTGGGACAAGGTTCCTTTGTCTCTCCATGGCTCCAGTTGGATTTGGGATGGAGCCAACACGCCCTGAGGCTTCAGGTGGCTCCCAGCCCAGTGGGACAGGGCCGGGATGTCCCCATGGAGCAGCCGAAGGGAGGGGTTGGATATGGATCCTTTGGTCGCTCGGAGGCAAGGAGAGGGACACCAGTGGTGGAAGGTCATGGAATCCCAGGATGGTTTGGTTTGGAAGGGATGTTTTAAGGGGCCTCCAGACCAACGAGCAGGGACATCTTCAACCTGATCAGGTCCAGATCTCCTCGTGGTTTGCTTTATCTCCTGGGACCGTGTTGTGGTCTCACCACCCAGCCAGGGTGAGTCACTGACAGTCTGTCTGCTCTGTCCTGCTATGCCAGAGGGAAACCTGGCACCTGGGAAGGGGTAGGGATGGGTGGAAGGCTGGGCTTAGACTTTCTCTGAGCTCAGAGTTGCTCCTGCACCACCTGGTCCTCGTCATCTTCTCAGTTCTTGTCATCTTCTCAGTCCTTCTCATCTTCTCCCACCCTGCTGGCGTTTGAGGAGAGCTTTTCCCAGCCTTCCCAAACCAAACTGGAGGCTTTTTTTTTTTTTTAGGAGGTGCCCTAAAACCCCTCGGGGTGGTGGGGTGGGGCTGGTTGTGCCCACAAGAAATATCCCACAGATTAAGAGAGATTTGTAGTTGATTTTTGCTCTCCATCCCCCTTCCATGAGTCTCTCTCCTCCGTAACTCAGCACCTTCGCTCCCCTTTCCCACCTCCGCATTCCAAGATGCCTCTGGCTGTGGGATTGCCCTGATCCAGCAGCTTCCCACTTCCAAGGAGTGGGAAGAAGGCCCCAGGATTTCCTCTCTACCCTGGGGAGAGTCACCACCCTCCTACAGTCAAATCCTGCGGGTTCTGTGCCGGCCCCATCCGGGCTGTCCCAAAGCCCAAAAAACTCATGGAATTGAGTAGTTTCCTGGAAAATTACCCAACTGACCACCAAAAGGCTCAGAAATGTGGATACCATGGTTTCAGAGAACTCTGCATAGAGGAAGCAGCTGTTCTGAGCTGGCAGGTGATGGTTTGCTGCTGACAGAGGAAAGTGGGATTCTCCGTGTCTGTTTTCCTGCTTTCCGGCTTCCTATGGAGTCAGGACTGACTGCCAGCCCTCTTGAGCAAGGCCTGAAGTCAGACAAGCTGCCACAGAGCAAGAAATAATTTAGATTAATGAGTCATGTTTAATTCTTGGAGCCAAGTGGGCACCGTGGGGCTTGTTTGGAAAAGGGTTCCTCGATTCCGTGTTTGCTGATGCAGGAAGTTAATCCTCAGTTGGAGACCTGATGGATTTCTTGGGCTGGCCAGAGGTCACTGTTGAAGGTCCAGCTCCAAGGACTGGAATGTTCATCTGGTTTGGTCTGTGGAGTAAGAATTAGGGTTGTTTTAGTGGGCAGAAAGCACCTGGGGCAGGTAATTCCATGTGGTTTGGTGTCCTGAGGGAGCTCCTGGCTTTGGATGGGATGTGGGGCTTGGTGTCTTCCCAAAGTGTCTGGAAACCATGTGGGCTTTCCAAGGAGTGGAATTTCCATTTGTTTTGCTCTGTGGAGTAAGAATTGGAGTTGTTTTAGTGGGCAGAAAGCACCTGGGGCAGGTAATTCCACGTGGTTTGGTGTCCTGA